CTCGGAATTCCCCCGGAGGAGCTGGAGGAAGTGTCTGGAGAGAGGGAAGTCTGGGCATCTTAGACTGCTGCCCCCGCGACCCGGTTCCGCATAAGCAGAGGAAAATGGATGGATGGATGTTATTATTCTGTATGATTCATTCTTATATATTTTGTTTGTCATTTATTCATTTTACTGAATTTTTATTTTAATTCAAGTCTTGGTTTTTGCTAGTTTATTTATAAAATATTTTTAATCATTTTTGACCTAACTGCCTTATTCTGCTTCACTGTCATTTATTTGTAAAGGACTTTGAGATGCATGAACTTCTCTGAAAGGTGCTATGAATAAAGTGTCGATTGGAACTGACAACGGCTGTGACTGAAACCACAGAGCTTCTCACTTTAGATGGCCTCATTCACTCACTGCTGACCTGCAGCTAACAGTCGCACATCATTATCTGATATGTGCAGACACATGCAACTGATCTGTTAAACAACCTTTAACCAAATGGTCATATCCACATATGTGCAGACACATGCAACTGATCTGTTAAACAACCTTTAACCAAATGGTCATATCCACCTGATAGTGAAAGAGAAGCTGTCTCAAAAACGGGCTGAGCTGCCTGTGGTCAGTGACATCACAAGACAGAAGTTCTTCCTCATTCAAAATGACTCACTGACATTTGGGCTGCACACAGTCTTAAACACGTTTGACTTGGCTGAGCGTCTCCCACCCTTCAACAACCTTATTTAATATTGTTGTTCAATGATTTATTTTTGAGAAAAGTGCTGTGAGAGAAGCTCACACTGGGGACAGACGGCATTGGGTTAGAGGAAGTCGCTACTGCAATGGAACCTTTGATGTTTAAAGATGCTTTCTGGGTAAGTTTAGGTTTGTGGTCTGTTGCTTTGCTGAAGGTGTCTGACAACTGAAAAGTAACTGTAATCTTCACAGTGATGCAATAATTTATCTTAAATGTCTTTTTTTATGTTGAATTCCCTTGTTATGTGGTCTACAGTCTAATTTATTCATTGTACAGCCAGTTTAAAGTTCTCTGCTCCCCCAAACTAGTTTACATTTACATCACATTAATGTCAAATAATGTAAAGTGTATCCTAGATTGTATGTGCACGGTTCCAAATTAGAGGAGGTCAAGTTTGAGAGGCTATAGCATGAAAAGTCTTTGTTGAGTTCATATGTTCTGGCTCCTTACATGACAGGCAGTTTGATGAAGTACTGTGGCCATGCCATATACAACTATATTTGCTAAGTGTTAGTTCTGCATTTTTACCACACAGTGAGCACGATTGACTCAATGACACGTTACAACACTTTGAGTTGAGAAACACTGTTCATTGCAGAATTTCTCTCATGTTTTTCTGTCTTTTCATAACAGGGGTCTGATTTTAATTGTCACGCTGGGTACGACACTGTGATCCAGAGGTTACGAGAGGGAAGGCAAATGTGTAAAGACGTGGAGGAGCTTTTAAAGATGAGGTTTGGGCAGCATTTAAGTAGGTGAAACCAAAACTGTCTGTTAAACTAGGGGGTTTTGGAAAAGTATCACAGCACAGACACATAAGTTCTGTTAGTTGTGTAACTAACTCTAAGAAACAATCAGATGACTGTAAATCTATGGACATCCTTTCCTGGTAAGGGCCGGGTGAAAGTCAAAACTTGAGTTTTTGTTCTAAACAGGAGACCACTCAGGGACATGAGGCTTGGATGAGAATATCTTTAAATAAACTTCCTGGAAAAATATACTGTACTACTGAATTTGTAGTGGTGATTTAATTTAATAGCACATTTATAGCACATGTTCATCTTGCACCACTTGTTTCCAGCTGTTTTCTTAAAGTTATTGCATCAACGACTTTCATGTATTCCTGATCTGCAAAGAGTGACCAGACTTCTAAATGCCTTTTACTACAAAACAGCAACATGTAAAAGTGTGTCTTAAAGGTACAAATATTCACCACTGACACCAATTACCCCGATAAAGAATATACTAAATGATAAAGCACAGATCAAAGTGTAACAAATTCTAACAAAAGATGTGTCAGACCAGTGAAGGGCATTTTAGCTTTGGTGTGCTGCTACCACTATCTTATTATTATTAGCCTGTAATTACATAAAATGCACAGCTGTTACAGGATTCTTGTTGTTAAATTAAAAGATGTTGCAGTGCAAAAGTGTCAGAATGCCGGTGTTTGTCCAAACACAGAGTAGAAGCAAAACCATCAAAGCTTCTGTGGTAAGAGGGTGAAAGGTATTCAGGGTCAAGGTCACAGTGTTTATTTGTCATATGCACAAGAAACAAGTTTCCCTGTTCAATTTTTACTTTGCCGTCCACATGAATGCCACAAAATAAAAATGAAATATAAAGTAGATGAATAAGTAACACAATTCATAGTGGTCTCTGCGTGTTAAGACACAATGCAGACACATAATGTGTCCTTTTGTCATGACAGGAACATATGACAGGTCAGTAATACATCACAACTTATGGGCTCCAGAATGATGTGTGTGTCTGTCCATAATGCGCAGGGCGCTAGCAGAGGAGAAGTATGGGAAGGAACTGGTGACTATTGCTCGCAAAGCTGCAGGACACACAGAGATCAGGTAAGTAAATACAATGTTCCAGCAAAACATAGTATGATGTCAATATTGTGATCTGTATACACATACAACAAGTTCAATAAAATCTAGTTTGGAAAGGGCCACATGTTTGTCCAAAGAGAATGTTGAGAGTTTTAGACACTTTAATGTTGATTGAGACTGAGCCACAACAAAAATATATGAAACACAACAGTCATGTCCCTGTGAGTCATTTTAGAGGAAACACATTTTTTGCATGAGACAGAAAGAGACAAAATAGACATGTGCATGTGTGTGTGTGGCAGCCCCTCTCTCAGTGTGTAGTGGATCTGTTGCTAGGTTCCTGTTCTGTCTAGTTTCTGTCTTGTCAGTGACGTGCTACTCTAGAAGTGGCAGCAACAGAAACAAATGGTTGTTAAGGAAATACCATGAGGAAGATAAAACCAAAAGGCTCTTTTTAGGCTTTACGTAAGATTTATTCTGAGCCTCAACTTAATCACCAAGGGCCAGTGAGGTGCCCTTGGTGGTGTTTTATTCAGTCTAAAGCGCCCTGGTGTCACTGCTTGGTCACCAGCAGCCAGACAATTATGTTGCTTCTGTGTTCCTAGAGAGGAACAAGAAAGTCCTTAGTGAAACAGAACATGCTCGGACTGAGCGGAAAGAACCTAAACATGTTGGGTGACAGATGCCGGTTGTTTACAGCTTGCAAAGATAATCATGCTCTGTGTTTCTGATTTCTAATGTGCATTGCCTTTCCAGCACCATGAAAAATTCCTTTGACCAACTGAAAACACGTAAGTTCATCCAGTCGATTCCCCTCTGACCTGCTGCTGTTCTGGATAATGTTTAACTATAGCAGATTCATTTTTCTGTTTGGGTGTTTTTGGCTGCAGAAATCGAGAACATCGGGAACTTTCACATCCAGCTGTCAGAATTATTGAAAGAGGAGGTGAAAAAGATCGAGACATTTAGAGAACGTCAGAAAGAGCAGAGGAAGAAGGTACTGGGCTGTTTGTGTTGCTAAACAACTGACTTATTATAAACAAATACAAAATTACAAGGTTTGGTTGAAATGTAGTGAGAGGTTTGAAGACTTACAGTGGTTTTATACATAAGAAGCTCACTGCCTGTTTTTGCAGTAACAGCTGCACCAGCCATGGCTGCACCAGTAATTACCAGTTTAGAAGGGACGCTTATTTACCAGCACAGTCAAAGTAGTGCAATCCAGTCGAATCTGAGAATACGGCAATGTTCAGTTTTTGCTGACACTGTGTTACAGCCCCGTTTAAATCACTTTGTATATGCAATGGAAGCCTATATTCAAGGTTTCATTTTGACTCTTCTGCTTCTCCTTATAGTTTGAAAGCATCATGGACAAGGTTCAGAAGAAAAAGGTTTCTTTGTTCAAGAAGACTATGGAGGTAGGAAAACAGCTACACCTGCTATAGTTTGAATTTGTATTTCACATTCATCCAGAACCCAAACATTGTCTCTTATCCTGCTCTTATTTACTGCACATGACCATCACTAGCACAAACAGCAAACATTACATGGCGCTTCCTGCAGCCCCTGTTTCTTTCTTTCTTTCAGTCAAAGAAGAGTAATGAACTGAGATGCAAGGAGGCTGATGAGGCAGATCACGGGGTTGAGAAGATCACATCCAAAAACTCAGAAAAGGTACAGTCAATACAAGGCTATGACAGTAATGCCAGACCTGTTTATAAAGAAGCTGTTGCTGTATTCCATTTTGTACCTCACTCCAACACACAAACGATCATCACTTCAGTTCAAGTTTTCAGATGAAAGCAAGTAGTGGGATTTTCTGCAGTTGTGCACCATCAGTGACGCAATGCAGCATCTAGCAAGGAGGAACTGAAGTAGCTTTACATACTTCTATCTTATTTAAAGCGCGTTCAGTATCTGCAAGTCTCTGGTTTCTGATCACATTGGTGATATAGGTCACTTCCTGTCCATTTATTTCACAGGTACGTCACAAGGCCAAGCAATGCAGGCAGACAGCCAGTGAAGCAGGTACAGTACATTTCATTTCTACCCTTAACCTGCATTCTGTGCATTTATATCATTTCTCAGTATACTGCTGACCTTATATCATTATTTATTTAACAAATCTTAAAAAAGACCAGACAAAGTTTATTTACTGCATTTGTCTTCGTTGCCATGTTTCTTTTCTAACTATGACAACACTCTAATTTCTCACAGAGAAACTGTACATCAACAACATTGCTCAGCTAGAAATTGTTCGCCAGGACTGGGAAGAAACACACAGAAGCACCTGTGAGGTACTGTGGATGATATTCATGTTAGCTGCAGGTAGTCACAGAACAAATAAGGGTTTCTAACCACACAGACTAAACCTCACACCACATCCGTTTGTCTGTACAACATCTGATTCCTATTATACACCCACCTACTGCTGATCAGTGAGGAAGTATTGGACACTTTATCTCAAAATCAGCATGCTAAAAATAAAACAAATGCAAAGTCATGCAGTAATATATGTGCAATGAAGTATTACTCAGCCATGTACATACTGCCAATGCAGCAAGACAAGTGCTGTTAGTGATATGAAAAAGAGGAAGCAGTCATGTCTCTGCAGCAATGGTGGAAGAAGTACTCACATCTTTAACTTAAATAAAGGTAGCAATAATGTAAAAATACTCTGTTACAAGTAAAAGTCCTGCATTAAATTTTTAAGCAAAAGTACAAAAGTATTACCATCAAAATATCCTTAAAGTGCCAAAAGTAAGAATTATGCAGAATGGCACATTTCACATTAATGTATTTTATATTGTTGGAGTATAATGACTGATACATTATAGTGTTCAACACTTTAATGTTGTGGCTGCTAAAGGTGGAGTTAACTACCTTAAATACCGTATTTTCCGGACTATAAGTCGCACTTCTTTTCATGGTTTGGCTGGTCCTGCGACGTATACTCCGGAGCGACTTATGTATGTTTTTTTAAATATTACCGTAGATTGAAATTTCACATGTTCGTTATTTTCACACTGACAGCCGCGAGAGGGCACTCTCGGCTTGTGTGCCAGTATCTACGCGCCTATCACTACTGTACCACTGAAAATGTAAACATCAACTTATAAAGACAACTGAGAAAGACTGACCACAAATGCCCCCAAAAAGAAAATCATATTCTGCAGATTATAAGCTGCATGTAGTGAAATATGCAGCCGAAAACAGTAATCGAGCAGCAGAAAGAAAGTTTGAAGTGAACGAGAAACTTGTGAGGGACTAGTGAAAAGCGGAGGATACTCTAACTGCAATGAAGAAAACAAAAAAAGCTAATCGC